ACGCTTGTTTTCGACTCGCACTACTATTCATGATTGAACAAAACTTTTGGCAGGTACTGTATGAAAAAGTATGTTTAATGAACAAGAGTCGAGAGTATAATGAGCTTTTTTCTCCTTACCTACGATTTTGCCAGCGCGCATCCAAGACGTTGGAAGGGGCACATCGCTAGAGAAAATAAATGAAGTATATATATATATATATATATGGAATATCTAATACTAATAAATTAAGCAACGAAACGTATATTTCTGTCGTCACCGTATTAGTAGGCAATATATATATATATTCTCTAAAACAAGACAAGTCATTTTGTAGACTTTTTTATAGAATAAAAAACTTCTAATAAACGTGTGGAAATAAGAAGAATTTATCCAAAGAAAACTTCGACGAAGTTAGTTTTCGCTCAACTTCAAAATATAAGCAACAGTCAACCAATCATACCTCCAACAAGCAGAACCATATAGTGGTAGAACATCATTGGTTCGACCTGAAGGGCTGCCGTGTAAATGAACTGCTAGGTCCGCACGTTTCGTCAGTAACTGCAGGTGGCATCTTCAGTGGTATTGTAAATGAACTTTTAATTCCAGATATCTTCATCGTGAGCGAAGTTTCGTTGTCAGCGCAATATCACTGAAGATATCTGGACCTAGCGGTTCATTTAGAGCGCAGCCCTTCAGCTCAAACCATTGTTTTTCTGTTATGTGGTTTTGTTTCGCCGATGTTGTCAACGCAATAGCCCTGAAGGTATCTGGACTTAGACTTCATTTAGATCACGTATCAAGTTATCCCGTTATTTGTAAATAAATATAATTATTGTTGTTAAAAGCAGTCGAAATGAATTTAAGTGCAATATATTTTACATTTTTAACCACTCAGGCATACGTCAGCACTTACCCAACGTAATATTTAAAAATATTTGAAATTTAAAAAGTATATGTACCTAACGCCTAAAAATTTATAAATTATTATATTTTATGCGCCGCTATTAGAAAAATTATGGTGGACGCACCGGGTACGATTTACAGTTCAATTTACATTAACTGTCATATTTGTAATAATTAAATTAAATACACATTACAATTAAGTATATATTGACAAAAATTTTGAAAAAACCTTTTATTTTGTAGGAATCCAAAACACAGTTAATATCAAAAGTGTTACACTTATGTACGTGATACCGTGAAGACACAAAATTTAACCTTCAATAATATTTTTAAATATTATTTAGAAAACAAGACTGAAACAGAAAAGTTTACATACCTGAAAATTCGAAATATTCCAATCTACAACCATATTCGATACAATCCATTTAATTTGTAGTACATATGGAGACACAACTTAAAAGGTAATCAATCAATTTATTATACTGATTTAATAACTACATTTCTTGATGAAACATTTTAATCCACTGATATGAAAATAATAATTGGAAAGCAATTATTGACTTTACTCAATAACTTACTCATGTATCATCAGGAACTTTTACTTGACGAGATATGGAGCATATTCTAAATTTATGTATGTTAGCCGCAAATCCACGGGTAGTTTTTCCGCAAAGGGGCGTCAAAGTTGACCGAACTTTTTCTACAATCGTAGATATAGGTATAAGATTCTGTTCTGACTTATTACAGCATGCGAAATTCGAATATCATTTTGATTTAGATATAATTTCAGTATTTCTCAATTAAAAGAAAGCTTTTTTATTTCAACCGCTAACAGAAAAATTAATTCATATTACTGTTAAGCATGATAGAATCTATAGGAGTTGACTTCTCAATCTTCATAATCATATGAATAAAGTAGACAAAGCTTCTTTTTATTACTTTTTCAACCGACTTCAGTTTGACGAATCTTAGGTCTATAGATTTCTTCAAAAATTATATATTCTGAGGGAGAGTATCGAAAAAGAAAAGGCGCTCGAAATATGTTCCTATAGATGAATGATGAGAATACCGTAGAGAAATGAGAAGGTATTAGAAAGAAAAGGACAACAAAAGTCACTATGGAAGTCCACAAGAAATAGGCAAGATAGGTTGGTAGGAAGGGCTAATTAGCGACATAGCGAAGAGGAGGAGAACTGACCCTAGTTTAAATCATTGTTCACAAATAGTTCGGGGTGAAATGCGAAGATTAGCTCAGGATAGGAAAGAGTGGACGTGCGTGTCCAACCAGTCTTAGTCATAGGACTGATGACCTTATGATGATGATTTATATTTACATTTACTTGTGACCTAGAGTAAGAGGCCTATACAATTGACAGCTAAATCTGTCACTCCACGATTTTATTTTGAATGAGGCAATTCACTGGTACCGTACCGATGACTAAGAAGCTATTCAGCGGTAGTGTGCCGATGCCTAAGAAGCTATTCTCCAATATTCAAACATTGCTTAAAACATTATTGATTAGTGCATTAAGTTATCAATAGGACTTCATCTTACATGATTGATGAGACTATAAGGCTAATGAGCGCAGTATATTGAAACTTTGAAAATCGTTGAAGGTGGGGCGCGCTCAAACGATTTTCGAACTTCAGATTTCCACAGTAACGATACACAATATTGAACCTTAACGAACAGACGTGCAAAATTCAAAAATTTAATTTCTCCAACCGAATGCCGAAAATTTATAAAAACTAGCGTGAGGGGGTGTTTATACGCCGAGGGTGTATATACCCCAAAATATACGGTAATTAAACTAAAGCATTCTAGTAGGCTATCGGCGAATAGCATTTTGTTACCTGTATAGTACCGGTGAATAGCTTCTTAGTCACCGGTACAGTACCGGTGAATAGATTCATGGTCGCCGGTACAATACCGGTGAATAGCTTCTTAGTCACCGGTACAGTACCGGTGAATAGATACATGGTCGCCGGTACAATACCGGTGAATAGCTTTTTAGTCACCGGTACAGTACCGGTGAATAGATTCATGGTCGCCGGTACAATACCGGTGAGTAGCTTCTTAGTCACCGGTACAGTACCTGTGAATAGATTCATGGTCGCCGGTACAATACCGGTGAGTAGCTTCTTAGTCATCGGTACGGTACCGGTGATGACACATCGTTTTATGAGATAGATCCAATATAAACGAATAAAATTGTATTTTCAGTACCTACTAAAGCGCTGTAGAAATGTATTTTTCAAATAAAAAACCGCTAGGTGTGATCTTATCACTAATTTTTCTAACTGAATAACTAATTCATTCCCTCCACTAATTTTACTTATCGTCGCCAAACAATCCTTGACCGCTAATAAAATTAAATCCGTCGTCTAGCTTTCTCCAGTCCATTAATTACTCAACGTCGATGAAGCGCTACGGTCACATCTCCATCCTCTCATAACTTATACAATTCATGCTTTATAATACCGTGTCCAATCATAACAGATATTAAATTTTCGTCTGTGTAAACTCGATTTGGTGCTGCTGCATCTTTCGAATGTTATGGGCGCCTTTGCATCTTCGAGTTTAAGACCCGGAACTGCATTACAAATAGAATTACCTTGTTGCACGCGAACTAGTTGGTAGAACGGTTTGAGAGCATGAAACTGCAGGAGGCCGCTGGCACTCCCCAGGTAGCGCTCATATAAATGGTGCTATAATCGTAGCACTCCTCCTCCGCCCTACTCAAAGCGTATACAACCCCTTCACGTTCGCGTTATGGTTAACTGAATCTACTTAATTACCTTGCATAAACATCTCTTAGTTTTATAAAATGTTCAAGACGTAAAGCTGTGCACCATTGTTCTTTTTTACATTATAAAAACTGAAAGAAAAAAATAGAAATGCATTGGATTCAAAATCAGTAAGGAATCTTCTATAATTATGTAGAAAATTAAGAAATTAAGCACGCGTTCGTATATAT